GTAAATTCAACAGCGACTGATTGTTATATAAGGTCACAAACAGACCAGTCCTTAGTTGGAAACAAAACAAAGGAAACAAAAAACGTGTTTGTGACCTACCTAAACATTACTTACCCTATAAGGCAACAAATCAGTTTCCCTTATTGAGCTATGACACCACAGGGCATTTATCCAATGTTGGTTTTGTTAAGATGCTAGTCTATAAACTTTGCAACCCTAGATTATGTAGATGTCGCTTCAGCCATAAAATCTGCCTATATTTAGATGTTTGGCTGTTGCTGTCTGTGAGACGGATTAGGGCAAGGCCGTTTTCAGCACCCAGCACTTGGACTGAAACAGCATCCTTTAACAGATGGCAAAATAGGTCCGATAGCACGTCTCGTATTCATTCTTACCTGTACGTGTGCCAAGGTGCTCACAGCAGAAGGTGAAGCAGAGATGGGGAGCCAAGTCGGTCTGTTGAATAACTTAATTCAAGGGATTGTTGGATAAACCGAAGATTACAGTGCTTGATTTTCACGGTTCTTCCTTCTCCTCAGGATTTTCCAATTTTGTGTCAGACATGTTTAGGAGAAAATCCTTACATTCGTATGGTGAGTGAGCATCCCTGTGCCTTCATAGCAAATTCAAAACTATTTGCTTGTAGTGTTAATACCAGCAAATGTGCAAGTCCAAATATGGTCATGCTTTGTTTTACAGACCAAGGAAAAATATGGGAAAGAATGCAAGGTATGTTTTTTTTGTTTTTGTTGGGTTCAAGTTCTTTGCACACTTTTTGTTTACTCATCTGATTGAAGCTGCAAAGAACCGTGTGGATCGAGTAATCATTCATAACTGTTTAAATTGTACATATTTAGCCCACATTGTACAGGCCTTTTTGATGCATGACAATAAAGGGCTATTCTATTCTAATACGTCGCTCTCCGCCTATCAGATCTGTGCTCGGCCCTTTACAGTGTTCCGATGGTGTCCAGGAACACGGATGCGTTTCAAAAAGACAGAAGTCTGTCAGACCTGCAGTAAAATGAAAAATGTTTGTCAGACATGTCTGCTGGACCTGGAGTATGGTGAGTCTCCTCTGGGTTTTGTCGCTGTGCAGATTTCATGAGCCCCTCATTTATATAGTTCTGAGCGTAACCCTCCTGTCATATCTTGTGTTTGACAGGTTTGCCTATCCAAGTCCGAGACACTGGACTCTCCGTTAAAGATGAGGTTCCTCGGTCAGATGTGAATAAAGAGTACTACACACAGAACATGGAGAGAGAGGTAAGCTCCTTTCTCATGACTGCAGTATGATTTTTTTGTTTGTTTGTTTTGGTTTGGGTTTGTTTATTTTTTAAGTTGTTATGCTTGCACAGTGATAACAGTCTTTACTGGTCCAATGTCTGATCCAGTGGGGTTTTTTTCAAGCAAACATAAGAGAGATTTTCCATCCATCATGCCTCTCTGGACTTCTTTGTTTACAGATAGCAAATTCCGATGGCACTCGGCCAGTGGGCCAGCTTGGTAAGGCTCCAAGTTCTAGTGATATGTTGCTGAAGTTGGCTCGGACCACACCATATTACAAGAGGAACCGGCCACACATCTGCTCCTTCTGGGTCAAGGGAGAGTGTAAGAGAGGGGAGGAATGTCCCTACAGGTGAGTGCCATGATGCTAGTCTCCATGGAGCTGATTCTTTCTTTTGATATCAGCTCACATATATTAAGACATCGCTGTGGGTTAGTTGAAGTTTCATATCATATTTATTGTTTTTCTGGTGCCCTCTTTACACAGGCATGAGAAGCCCACAGATCCTGATGACCCTCTAGCAGACCAAAACATAAAGGATCGTTACTATGGCATCAATGACCCAGTGGCTGACAAATTACTAAAGCGGGCTTCAACTATGCCCCGACTGGACCCACCAGAGGACAAATCCATCACCACTCTCTACATTGGGGGGTTGGGAGACACTGTTACAGATGGAGACCTCAAGTAAGCATTTCTGTTTCATAATGACCTCTTTTACAGCTTGCTGTGATAATTTATTGTTATGCCTCGATGCCCGGGACAGCTGTGGCTGGAGGCATTGTGTTTTTGGCTGTCTGTTCATCCATCTGTTCCATTCCTATCTTATCTCTCTCATCACTATTTAAATCAGGCACAAACAAAGATGAGCTGGTTAGAATAATACAAAATACAAATGTCTAATTATACTAAAATGATCATAGCGTATGTATCTTTGCATACTCCTTATCGCCTCCAACACAAGTGCACTAATCTTGATGAAACTTTGTATAAACATTGCCTAGGGCCCTGTGAGTGCCGACATTTATATGGCCTATAGGAATATTTTATAGAAATCCCACAGTCGTTTATTGTTGTACATTTGACAGTTCAATTGAGCGGTGCAGTGTCAGAATAGAATGTTGCCACAATATAATGTATCATAGCATTACACTGTAATGATCGTAGCATATGTATATTTGTTCCTTCTCCGCGATGCATAGCAAGGGCGTTTGGCAGTAATACAAAATGCTGATGGGATGTTCTACGAGAGCAATTTGCTGACTTTTACTCAAAGAAATAAGTCAGGAAAAGAAGAAGAGATTGTGGTCATATGTCACGTTTGGTCAGATTCTAAATTGGTAACACTTATCTTTCGTGCCTGCTTAATAAACTCTTCTAAAGCTTCCGCTACATGTATTATTAGGCTAGACAGCTGTTGTTGCCGGCTAGAGGGTTACAGCCACAAGCGGATATTGTTATTTCTACTTACTTTGTAAATTTTGCTGTGTTGCAGTATTTTTATTTCACTATTTTGTGTCATTGCAGGAGTCACTTTTACCAGTTTGGTGAAATCCGAACCATTACCATAGTCCAAAGGCAGCAGTGCGCTTTCATCCAGTTTGCCACGCGGCAGTCAGCTGAAACGGCTGCTGAAAAGTCCTTCAACAAACTCATTATTAACGGACGAAGACTCACTGTCAAGTGGGGAAGGTAAGAATCCGATCAAAAGTTAAACATTGTCCAGCTTTGTGAATATTAAGAGCAACACCAGAAGGTACTGAATCCATTAAAGGGGGCTCATAACAATGTAAATTACAAAACATCATTTTGCAATCTGATTTATAAGCTTAACTCCCATAAACCCCCACCAAGGAGAGCCATTTAGGTAAAGATGTCAATTTTAAAAGTGATAATTTGCCATGTTTAAAGGTAATGCCCTGACATAATGCTTGACTCAAAGTGGAAATGTAGAAAGAGTTTAATCAAATTATGTCAGGCAGGAGGCTTAAAATTGATTTTGTCCTGGATGGTGAATGTTGCAGTGTCATTAGTCATTGTTTGACTTGTGCTGTGTGCCCATTTAGGTCCCAGGCAGCAAGAGGAAAGGAGGGAATCAAAGATGGTGTCAGTGAGATGGGTACCAGACTTGATCCTGTGCCTGGACTGCCTGGAGGTGAGTCTCAAAGAGTGTGAGGATGTGTGTGTGTGTATGAAGAACATTTAGAGTTGTTCTTGTGGCGCTGAGCATTTGTGGTAGGTGTGTATGGGTAGGATTTCAGCTGTGCTTGATTTAGGGTTGAAAATGTTCCTTATTTATCTTATACTGAGCTATTCAGTTCATCATCTGTCCCACACCAGTCATTTTAGCTTTTCTCCCTTAAACCTTCAGTTCTGTACTGACACTGGTGGGGAATAGAGTCACTGCAGAGGGGAAAAAAAGCTGAGTGAATGTGACTTTTGGAGTAAAGCAAAGAGTCTGCCGTTCCTTTTTTTCAGTGTTTCAAGGTAGTTGCACTTTAGAGCACAAATAAGATTGTGTGCAGCTCCACACAACCTTGGAGGAAGTTGCCACATTTGCAGATTTCATGTGAATCCAAGTGGAACGGACACTTCATCTGCTTTGACTGCGTATGTACTGCAGCTCAGGTTCAGCTGTCAGACACAGCGAGCAGAGGAGAAAGCGAGCTGTTGCATGCTGTTTGATGTCTGCATCTAATTCTTATTTGTTGTTTTACAAACTCTCAATTAATATGAAATCTGTGCATGTAGAATTGGGCTAATTTGGCAAAATCGGACATAAAAACATCTTGCTGGCCTGTTGCCATTTCCTGTTTAGTTTCTAAAACTTTGCTCTTCTTTGCACTAGCTCTGCCCCCACCGCCAGCTCTAGATGAAGAGCCTCCTGCCAACTACTTCAACCTTGACCCCAGCTCCTCTCCTGCTGTCATGAACATTGCATTACCCCCACCTCCAGGCATCAATCCACCTCCTCCAGGTAAAATTATGACTTATTAATGTGTATTTTATAGTATAGTTTATGAAAATAAAAATTTAAAAAGCCATCAGTCTTGGTTTAGTCACTTACATAGGTGTACACAGTTTGTAATTGTAGATACTTAGCATGTTTATTTCCTTTGCTCCCTTAGGCTTTGGCCCTCCAATGTTTCACCACATGGGTCCTATGGTCCCGCCTATGCCCCCTCCAATGAGCATGAGACCTCCAGGTCAAATCCACTACCCCTCTCAGGATCCTCAGCGCATGGGTGCCCATGCTGCACATGGAGCACGTCATGGCGATTAGCGGTCAGAGGGAAGTCGTGCTGTTATTAGATGTCGCTCTTCTCCTTGTGTTCAACCTGGTCAGGACACATTGCAAACTGGCGGTGAACCCAAAGGCAACGTCTGGGAGCAGGACATCGCATAGAAAACCGTTGGGTTTTTTTGTTGTTTTTTTTAAATACTCCACCTGCAGAGCAGTGAATGATGTGAAGAAGCACCATCTGTGTCTGGAGAGACAACAACCAGGATCTTGCAAGTTGTCAAAAAGTAGCCAAAACGGCATCTGAACACCGGAGCCTAACGTTTTAAAAGACTTTAAAAACAAGAGCGCTGACCACACGGGTTTCAAAGCCTCCTAAGTAGGAACCATTGTGTGTATATATAAAATGTTTTTCCTTAGGTTAAACTTGTATTTGTCACATTGTGTGTAGTATAACGTGCAGTTAGATTCTGTTAATTTCAGTTGACTTTTTTATTTGACATCATCTGACTTACTTTATTGTAAGGCTTTCTTTGAATATTGTTTTCATTTGTCATTAAAACGGCTAACTTTTTCCATCCATCGTCTCTGTGTGCATTATTCATCATTACTTGTATAATGGCGTCTGGCAGCTTCTGATTAATAGAGAAGATGTAAAGCTGCAGAGTGAAGGGAAAGGAGAGGGCAGGCAGACATTGAGACATTGATGGGATCAGATACTGCTCGAGGTGACAAACAGGAACAATAGGTAGGACTGATCAGCCTGTGGCAGCATTGTCCTGGACTTGACTGAGTGTGTAATGAACTTGGGAGTTCGCCTCAGCTCATCAATCCACTCAGCAGTAGAAAACCACTTTGTATATCATGCAGGAGTACTTTTTTTCTTCTTCTCCCCTGCGGTGCTTTAGGATTAACAGAGGGTTCGTCTTTGTAGGAGGAGAAGAGCGATCATAGGCCAGAGTTTCAGTCTTTAGCTTCTTTTAGTCTGTCAGCTTCTCTTCATAGTTCATTAGATTCAGGGCAGTAATCAGGTCCCCATCCCCTGGGTGCTCTGTTGAAGTTGGGGCGACGGCACATGCGGTCCAGAGCGATGCCAGGAAGTTGCTGGGATTCTACAGCCTCAAAGCTGATCACCGGGATCACCCGTTTGCTTGCCACAGCGCCCCCAAATGGCATTGGAGATCTGAGAAACAAAGAAGAGTCTTTAGTGGTTAAGTAAACACTTTATGGTGGAACATTACCTAGAAGTGTTAGCTTACACTCCTTCCCTTAAAGCGGGTGTCTTTCACATGATACCTAATATGAATTTGGAAATCCCTGCTCTAAACAGAAGGCTCTTTTAACGGTTAAAAAAAAAAAAAACCCTAACAGGCATTGGGGGTGAACTTGACCTCCTTTACTAACACTGCTGCTCTCACTGTTAGAGTTCAGATTTAATTAAGCCTTCATAATAACTGTAAGTGTGTAAAAAGATCCTTCCACATTGGCTTCAGTTTCAACCTGGCTGTCAGAATTTATTTATCTGACAGCTTCAAGTGAGTAAAGCCAGTTGGTCTTTCATATATTCTCCGTTTATCCGTCTGCCCAAGCGTAACCTTTGTCCTGCCCTCGCTTGTGTGATGCAATTCCTTGTGTGCCATGAGAGACGTGATTCTCTTTCGTGTGCTGGTTTGTCCTGTGGGGCCATTTAAAAGCTTGCAACCCCTCAGTAGATCGTTTTTCAAGAGCCAGTGTTCAAAATAGCCATCACAGATACGTCACTCCTAAGGAAGTGCAAGCCAGACACTGGATTAATTTTCAAACCATGGAAACATGGAGCGGAGCCGACGGGAAGATATGATAGTAATGGATAAGGTGGTGAGGTCATCTGTGGGACTATTTGTAGAACTGTGGGCTTCTAACAGACTAAGATTGACCACTTTTTGATTTATTTGGGGTGAAAGGGCAGATTTACCTGTTGAAGCACCTGTAGTTGGAAGCCTGTAGTCTTTGTGGGGGCTGGGGCAGCTGAGTATTGAGGGTGTTCAGGAGCTCCTCATTGTCTCCCAAAGCTTCCATCCATGGTGAGCAGTAGGATTTGGGGATTACCGTCGTGTTGAACTTCTCACGAGGAATTTCCTTCAGAGGGCCGGAATACCCTGACATGAGCAAAAATGTAGTATCAGCGGCTAAAAATAGCACACCGCTTTGGGCAAAGAGAAAAGTTTGACTTCAGTTGTGAGTGTGTGCTAAATTCTATGTAAATGAGCTCAACTAAAAAAAACTCAAAACCCACTAGATAAAAATCATAAAAGCTCTCCTTATTAAAGCAGACACAGATCTAATATGAATATGTTTGATATCACCCCTGTCAATAGGAAATAGGAACTACAGTAATTAGATCTCAGTGTGAATCCCTGATAATAAACAGTGCTTATCTCACTGTCAGTCAGAGTGTAAGCGGTGCCTTCTGTTGGGGCAAATACACAACAGCACTCGGCAAAGATGCTCACACTTAATTGCTTTCTACAAACTGCCAACTCTCCTGGCACCAATAACCATCAAACAAATCCATGTGCCCGATGCATTTCCAAAACAAAGGTGAGCACTTGCAAAGCAGAGTGTGCTACAATGACCATGCATTGCTCAAGCGTTTCCTCTATCCAGGCACTGGCATTGCAACGAGCAAGTCTCATGGCTTGTGCTTTTGGCAGTCCTTGGCAATCCTTTCATTGTTGTGTATTACCTGGAGCCAGGACATCAGGACTGCCCTTCTTTGCTACAGTCTTCTGAAGGTTCATGACCAGGCTATGCTTACCAGGGATGGAGAAAGCCTGGTTCTCTTTTCCTGCCTGCACCTCTTGGATTACTTGCTGGGTAGGAATGGGCTCCGCATAAACCTAGGAAAGATACTGGGTTAATTTACTTATTACTTTCCTAACAAGTTTCCTTGTTGTGATGCTGATATGGCAGTAATTCTTCATGATGTGAGGTAAAGTGGCCTCTTGCTGTACTACAAATTGCACAAGGGCTAAGAAAATGCTTTTTTGCTATTAATCGTAACTGTTCGATCCATGTAGCACACTAAGCTGTTACAAGAGAGTATACACATGAGAAACAGTTTCCTAATCTCTCACTTTCTTACATTACTGGTGTTGGCAGCACTCTCTACTGTGAATCTCTCAGCCCTCTTCTGTCTCTCCTGAAACATGCGAGAACCCCGATTAGAGAGAAGGTTGAGCTCCTCCATCATCACGTCTTTTGGAACGCTGATCTTCTTCCCCAGGTTCAAACCTTGTGCAAAACAGGATACACAAAGAGATACTCATGTTTTAAAAACTGATTACACGTGGCATTTTTTAAGTTACAGCTCATACTACAGAAAATAATTTGCTTCAAGATTTTGTGCAGTGAGGCAGCGTGGATGTGACCCTCCATAAATACTTTTAGCTGTTGGTGCTAATTAATGATGGCAGCAACTTGCAGACGTTTGGAAGGAGAAGGGCAGTAACAACAGGCTATTAAGGACCTTTGGCAAATCATAAAGTTCCCTCTGGTCCTCTTATTTCTGTCAACATTAAACAGCTGAGAGGGACTTATATATAAAAGTAAAAGCATGGGAAGCCTCACTTAGTTGGCATCCTCAGAGCTTTTGCTCAGGGTCTCTTCTTGTGTGATATCCCGGCACTGTGGAGGGTCTCAAATAACCTCAAGGTGATGTCAAGAGGTGTGTAATGTCTGTTGTGGTCCAAGGTTGCATGGGTAACCGGCATATAAATAGGCTCTTTGGATGAAAGACTTGTGTAAGAGCGGCTCTCTTACTTGCACATGATAAGTGTTCGGGGAGGTTTGGGCATGTGCCATCCTGGAGGAGCTGTCTTTGATCAGCTTGTGTAAAATTCAGTGGTGGGAGTCACATTTTGCTGAGTTTAGGAGACTTAGTTTCAAAGCGTAGCTGGCGGCCAAAACTGGAAAACAAACAGTGCAAATGGGATGGTCCCCACTGGAATGTGCAGAGAATTTCAACAGCACTTTGGCCTTCCGGGGATTTCAGTATACTACAGTTCATTTCTCTCCAGGCAGTGGGCCAGCATGTGCTGATGTTTGGCTCAGTTCAATCTGTTGGTCCCAGATATGCTATATGTCACATGGGACATGGGCTCATATCCACACGTTATTTTATGGAATATGAGGAACTGTGATCCTGCATGAGGAAGTTAAGAGTAGAAGGTATGTGAGGGTGATACAAGACCTGCATGAGAACAGTGAGAGATTGGTGAAGTGTGTGGTAGGAGTGACAGAAGGGTTCAAGGTGGGAGTGGGATTACTTTCAGCCCCTTCCTTTTTGCAATGATTGATGGAAAAAAAAATGGCGCTGGCAAAGGTCGGCAGCCTTAACCCAATTTCCTTCGGGGTCAACCTTCAGGATCAATAGAGTTTTATTGAATTGAATTGAATGGACGGGCTGACAAATGAGATCGGACACAAGTTTTTGTGGACTATGATGTTTGCAGAAGATATCTGTAGTGAGAATAGCAAACAGATGGGAGAGAGCCTGGAGATGCGGAGGTATGCTCTGGAGAGAAGAGGAATGAAAGTCAGTAGAAGCAAGACAGAAATCATGAGTGTGAATGAGAGGGACAGAGGTGGAAAGGTGAAGATGCAAGGAGTGTATGCAGTAAAGGTGGATGAGTTTAAATATCTGGGGTGATCCAAAGCAATGGACAGTGCACAAGAGAGGTGAAGAAGAGAGTGCAGACAGGGTGGAGTGGGTGGAGATGAGTGTTAGGGGTGGATTTGTGACAGAAGGGAAAGGGAAGGTTTTTAAGATGGTAGTGAGACCTGCTATGAGGTATGGTTTGGAGATGGTGTCTCTGACAAAAAGACAGAAGGTGGTGCTGAAGATGTTAAGACTTTCATTGGGAGTGACCAGGATGTACAAGATTCGAATGAGTCGTATAGAAGAGGGATAGTGGAGAAATGATGCTGAATATAGAGGCACGAGAAAAAAACACACAGAGAAGATGGATGTAGTGAAGGAGGACATGCAGAGAGCCTCTGTGAGAGATAATGGGATAAAGGTAGATGATCTAAAGGGACCAACTAAAAGAAGAAGTAGACCAACGTGCATAAAAGCATTGAAACTAATATGCAAATGTTTTGTACACATATGTCAGTTCTATTTCCTGATGCCCTGACATAGGCAGTAATAAAACAAAGCATCTAAAATACACTTACCTCCCCTGACTTCCTTAGACAGACCCTTAGTCTGCAACAACCTCTGCTTAGTCATGTGATTCACGTCTGACTGCATCATCATTCACAGCTTCCTCTAAGGAACACATACATTTTCATCATCAGTATAAGGGCTAATGTGTAATTTCTCCCATATAACATAAACACAGAATCTTTCTAATCTTTCTTTCTTTCTGATTTAGTGACATTTTATAATTAGATATTTTTATATCACTGATGTTGATAAAACTTAGCTATGCCACCCCTCACCCATATGCCACAAATCCTTAGTAATGTAACCCAGTACTTAAAGAAAAATGTTTGGATTCTGTGTAAAATGTAAGAAATACAGATTACAAAAAATTACAAAAGATCGAAAACCAATTTCTTAAACGAGAAACTGAATTTTTTTTTCATGCTGAATATGTTAAGTAGAGAATTATCTTTTGGTCAGATGGATTATAAACAACTTCTTGCACAAATTCTCTGCATCCTGTGGGTTAAAAAAGAAAGGGACTATCCAGCTTAGAGGTGGAAAGCACCTACCTGCAATTTGCAGAGACTATCCATATTATGCAAATCTGGAGAGGCATTATTGATGCTGAACGTTATACACAGGCATCGGAACATACAGTTGGGTTCATAAATATTTGGACAATCACACAACGCTTGTAGCTGTGTCTCTGTACACCAAAATAGATTTGAAATCACACAGTCAAGATGTGATTGAAGTGCAACTTTAATTCAAGGGGTTCTATAAAAGTATGGCATTAACTTTCAAGGAATCGCAGCCAATTTTATAAACAGTGCTCAAAAATAATTGGGCAAAGTAACATACATACAAATATAAGGATTGTCTATTTTAAGAAAATACCAATTGTACTGATTTGGCTACTTCAGATCTTTAATATTTAATTTGCCACAGAATAACAACAGAGATAGGCCTCACCTGGTCAAGAACCTGCTTGTAAATCAAAATCCAATTACTTATGATCCTCTGAAAATGTGGGACTGGGTTTAAAAATGCCTGTGATTCCCAAAGAGTTCATGTTTTTTTTTAAAGCCCTCAAATTAAAGCCTAAAGGCTACACTATAGTCACATGACTGTCTGATCATAAATCCAGTGTGGTGGTGCACAGAGGCAAAATTACGAAAAGAGGTCTTAATTATTTTACTAAAACGAAACCATATTCATAAGATCATGACTGTAAAGTTAAAGACTCTGGGCTCTAAACTTGGGTGCCTGCAGTCCGGGCCTGTCAGTCACTGAGAGCGTTTGGTGCACCATGAAACCCAAATTATGACAAGGGAGACCGCAAACCGTTAAGTAGCTGAAATCGTATATCAAGTGAGTACAAGAAAATAATAAACTTGGTCAATAAAGTCCTCAAACCCTTACAGGCTGTCTGTCGCCTGTAGAAAAGTAAAAAAAAAACCCCAACCAACCAAAAAAACAAAAAACTGTATAAAAACAGTATAAAAAACAGTTTTTGTCAAAACAAAGTTAAAAAGTAATAAAATCATGTCAGTGTTTACATTTAATCTGCACTCATTTCACACACATATAGTCAATGATGATTTGCACTGCATCACCATACTCTTTTTTTAAAAAGGTGGCCCAGCTTTCTTTGAAAAAAATGTATATTCTGCAGATTTTTTTTGGTACACACGTACTCCGGTCATGGGTCTAAACAAAACGGGCAGATTACTTCTTTACAATGAAAATAAAAATATTCACTTAGCTGTTCAGTCATGCTTCTGATAAACAGTCATTTATGAATCCTGTGTCTTATGTCACTCGTTATTTGGATGATACAAAGGTTTGCACTCCCCTTATTTTAGTCCTTACCTGCTTCTCTTGCTTCTGCTGCCTGCCTGTTTGCCGGGTGTTGGAGCTGGTTGGGGTGTTTGTGTGGTTTGTTCTTTTACTGTTGCTGGGATGCTTCCACGCTCCCCTCTGACACTCCTCAGCACAGAAGGAGCAGTCTGTATAAAACTCATCCCAAGATGCCTCCAGTGCTTACCTCACTGAGTTTATTTTAGCAGAGGGGTAAGAGGGCGAGGATGGATCGAGGGAGTATTTGAGGAGGAGGGGTGGCACTAGCGATTTAGGGAAAGGGACGAGCACAAAGATTTACATCCTGACCTCAAGCTTCTGTGATGATAAAAATCGGATCCCTTCAGCGTGTGTGTTTGATGACAGCAGCTGTCCAGACACTTGCGCACTGAGGCCAAGCACCCAGCCTCCCCCGTTGCAAACTTGGACACTAGAACGTGGTTTTGGAGAAAGAGCTTCAGGACTGATCCGAGGTTGTGACTCTGAATCTAGTTTGGTTGTTCTTTGAGTTTCTAGAGGTGGGAGACCTTTAGCTGAGTTATTCGGCTGTGTAAATGATCATAGTAAGCAACCATGCAATACTTTTACTATCTGGATTTAATTTATTTGTTGGTTTACCAACTGCAGAGAAACTCCAATAGTGACTTCTGCATAAATACTTTTTGCCTTGCACAATGCGTAATGACCTTTAACTTTATTTTTGGATGCCCTTTTTGAACTAAAGTTAATTTTATCATGCAGTTTTTCTTCCCCCCCCAAATTGATTCATTGAGCTCAGCAGGAGTCTGGAGGGGGGGAAAACCATTTTCTTTATCCCTGCTGAGATTGGATATTGATTTTGCACCTGCCCTGCTCCACAATACCACTATCTCCCAGTGGGAAGCCTCCCAGCCTGAAAGAAAATGTGAAGTCATCCCGAGTCACAGAAAATCAGCTGCAAACAAACAATAAAAGCTGAAGAGTTTCTGCCCATTAAAGGTTTATTTAAGAGTGTTTGTTTAGTAGAAAAAGCAATTTTGCTTTTTTTAAAAAGAAAAACCCCCTCATAAAGGTTTAAACATTAAAAGAAAAAATAAATCTGCTTTGTGTGGTTCAGTCACATGTCGGGAACAGTGAAAACAGTTCATAACTCAAGTCTACTCTGAGCTAGATAAAGGAATAAATAAATAACACACACATACACATTCAGATTTTGTGCATTGATAATTTTATTGCAAACAAGAGGATGATAAAATGAAGGCAGAAGTTTCTCAAATTGGTCTCATCTGTGTTCGAGAGGCTTCTTCCGCAGGGAGTTTGTGTCACATCGAGAGGTGCACAGCCACCAGGCACTGACAGCTGACACAAGAACAAAAGAGTCCCATTCAGACTCAAGGGTTTTGTGCAATTAGGGCGCCCTTAAAATCGTTTGCCCCGCTGGCCTTCAGATGAATCCTTATTGGCAGAGTGAAGAGCTGGAGAATGCAAAAGCAGCAGCATAAGTACACGTCTTTTTATAGCTTCCCGCTAAAAGCTAAATGCATTAATATTCAGCTTGCAGCCCTGAAAAAGTCATCATTCTGAACTTTTCTTATCGCTTGCAGGTGCCTTGGGGAGGACTGTTGCAAGTCAGTCAGCTGGGGAGGCGTCTTGCTATATAGTGCTAGTCAGTCTGTGCTTCAATCCAGTGAGAAATAATGTATGGGCTTCTGTGTGAGAGTCATGACTTCATCAAGGAGTCTTACGGAGACGATGTGTGGAAGCTGGTCAGAGAGAGCAGATGTCAGGTGGGTACACTGGCATGGCTTTATGCTTTATAGTCATCCATGGACTAATAATATATTTTAGGTCTGTAGTGTGTGACTGCATCCAAGTCAACATGATAGCACTTTTATTCATTGCTCTGTCACTTTTGTCTGAAAGGTCATAGTCAACAGGCCAGAACAGCTTCTTCACCTAAGTCAGAGTGTTTGCATTTGCAGGTCTATATTGAGAGTTTCATTCCCCGGATTGCAAAGGCAGCATGTAGAGTGACAGCAACACCCCACAAGAGGCTGATGAACTCCTGGGGTGTCTGCTTCCTGGGTTTTGTTGAGAAATATGGTTATGACAGGATCATTGAGGTGAGAAAAGATACAGATGACAAAACTGTCACGGCTGTTGTTCTGCTAGTGGGTGTGACATGAGTGTAATACCATGCAGCTTCTTCCACATCCAGAAGATATCGGTGGGTTTGTTAGGCTTTGTTTCATCATTTTACGATTATTTAGGGATGCAACTTTGATGATTTGTTTTTTCTTGTAAGGCGGTGAGGGAGAACAATCCTCAGCGGGTTTATATTCATATGATAAAGGGACAATCCATCATGCACATCAACATAGTCAAGATTAAATAAAGATAAAAAATAAAGATGTAAAAAGGCTAAATTAATCCAGTGCATAATACGGCCTGTGCTCTGAGAATTACAGCTGACTTATGATGTACGATGAGGAAATATTGTTTTTCAGCAAAATTACCATGAAATTATGCATCACTTAAAACAACCTAGAATGTACTTAAATGTAATTACACTCTAATTTGTTTCCAGAAAAACCTGACTTGTCACCCCCTTATTCTAGTGTACCTACCTTAAAGTATTTGTAGGTAAATATAATTACATTAAAATTCAAATAAAGTACAATGAATTTCCAGTTACTTACAAAGGGATTACACGCTTTGTTGCAGGGCACATTACAAAGGGTTTCCAAAGTCATTCTCTCTCCATCCAAGTGCTGTGCCGACACATACGTGACTTCGTCAATGACCTTGATAACTTTCACGAATAGAAGGTGCAGCCGCCGACCTTCTTCTGCCAGGAGGAGGAGTGACCCTCCACTACAGGTCTGCTACAGCAGGGGTGGGGAGGTGGTCGGGGACTGACTGCAGCGTTGGGCTGGGGCAGACAGGAGACATAACAACAGACATAAAAGCTGGAGTAGAGACAAGGAAATGCTGCGTGGTTAATCTCTTTAGAAAGACATTAGATTTTCTTTGTCTGTCCCCTGCAGGAGTAAGCGATAGGACACTTTGCTAGGGGTCAGCTGAGGCAGATGTGGAAACAATTTTATGACACTGACATCCATGTGGAGGTGCTCTGTGAGCAGATGATTGGGGACTACTCCCATGTTACAATGAGGTGTGGAAACAGAGAAAAACATAGAAGATCAAGTGGTGGGAAGAACTCTTTATTTTCATTTATTGCAACTGGATACTTTTTTTTAATGCATGTATTTTGAAAGCGACAGTTAAGATATAATATAAAAACATGAAATCAGTGGTTACCAAATCCTTTCGGCTCATGCCCCGCTGCCTTTTTCTAAAGTTAAGATCTTCATGCTTCTTTCAACACAGTTTTTTGAAAACTTAACTTTAAACTTTTAAAAGAAGCACTCATCTGCTTCACTACACGGGCTGAACTTTGATAACTCAGCCTACCGGCACATCATGAAAGAGGATGAGGAAAAGCAGAAAACCTTTCCCATTACTTCTGACTTCTTCTTTGAGGTCTTCCCCTTTAACAGACAGGTAATTATTTTAAATTGCCCCCTCTTTATATAACCGCTGGCAGTCTGGAATGAAATGAAGACACACTCACTGATCCTTTAAATGATTTAGGACATGGTGGTGCAAAATGTTGGCTCAAGCGTGGCTACAGTCTTCCCTGATCTGGATGGAAAGAAGTTCAATGAAACCTTCTTGGTGGCTCACCCCCTTGTGGAGTTCACCTGGAACATGGTGAGAAATTTCAGACGGCAACAATGTTCTTGTTAACAGCAAATAAAGTTCAGACTAGACACTAGTTAGATTACAATGTAGTCTTTAAAATATGAGCTATTCAGAATACTGATCTAGTATTGTGTAAACAGATAATCTCCAATCCCAAAAATCTGTTTCAGATCATATTCAAGCAGCTAGCTAAGCGAGAGGAACCATCGAACCAAGACCGAAGCTTGTAAACAGTCACAGGGGTGTGTGTCTGATTTAGAGGACTTGTGGTTTAATCAGATATACTGTAGTCAGACACAAAGTAGTGCCTGGCTATTTAAATTTCATTATTTTAAAGAAGTGTGCAGTTAAACTGTTAAACTGTCTGTTCTTGTGCAAGGGAATGAATATTTCACCTAGAGTGGAATCAAATTTTTGAGGTCCTGCAGTTGCAGAAACTCTTTGATGTTTTCAATTGACTGAATTTATTTGACCTGATCCAAGCCCGGGTAAAATGCGTTCATGAGTCCCAGTGCTTCAGCTTGTTTATCTGCAGATTCTGACTATGAAAATGTCAGCTGCTCTGCTGACGTACATGTGGAGATCATGGCCTACCAGTCTTTCATCGGAGATGATTATAAAGGTCAAGTCCTCTCTGTTATTCGCAAAAATGTATGGCGAGACTCGTTGGGTTCTTCAAAATATTTATATATATTTTCAATACCTCTTTCTTTTCTTTTCAACATGAAACTGGAGCCAGTAGAAAGTTTCTGAAGTCCAAAGGCAGCCCAGAACAAAAGCTGAGAGTGAGTCAGGCAAGCTTTCTCTCAGTTAGCGCTTCCTATGCCAAGCTGTTGTATCCAGCTTCACTCTGAACACACAGATATGAGGGTATTATCTGTTTTCATCAAACTGCCATCAAGAAAATGAATAAAACTACTTCCCCAAATGTCAAACTACTCTTTTAAAAAATGCTAAGTCCATTAAGATGACATTGTTATCACAGTGTGCAAACCATTATCCCCCGCTGAAATGTACTGCTGAGTATCTACAGTTAAAATCTAACCTAAAACACCTCTCTGAATGTTTGCCTTCTCGCCGTTTGATTGCCCCTCTTTTAGGCGGTAACAGTGCTAATGCAATGGAGAGCTGGAGTGATGGGAGCTGCTGCCTCAAACTAAAAGGACAAATGAGATACATGCCAGAGTGGGAGTCCATCATCTTCCTGGGAACCCCTTTATAAAGCCTCACGATCACCCCCAAAGACACAAACATGCACACACACCTACACACACACACACACACACACACACACACCTACACACACACAGAAAGAGAACTTTATTAAAAGGCTGCAGTTGAAAAGTAAAACATTCTAAAAAGCAGCAAGAGCTAAAGTGAATTACGAGTGAGAAATAAAAGCCTGGGCAGTGAATCAAATCAGAGGCCCATTCTAACAGCACTTACCATGCATGAAATGAG